ATCACAAAAAGGACAATAATTTCTGCCTTGAAATCACTTGTACCTCTTCGAAATAGAGCAGTGTTTGCCTCCAACAAACGCTCACTGGAGCACACCAACTGACTGTCGAAAGGGGAAAACAGAGAAGCCATAATATTATGTAAGAATAATAATAGCGGCAGACAAACCCAAGGATGCATTCATATTTAACGGGGTGGCAGCACTGTAACGGCCCCACTGATTAGGCCACCTCACAAGTTGTGTTGTGCAGCCACCAACTTGGAGGCTGCACCCACCCGGGGTGTCTCTTCAGAGGCCGGCAGCTGTGACTGACAGCTGGACGGTCGTTGTCCTCCTTCCCCCTGCAGGAAGCTCAGGAAAGGCTCTCTGTGTCCAGGAGCCAACGCTTTGACTCTGCGCTTGATCACAGCATCTCCGCCGCAGAGCTGTGAAAACTAAAGCACAAGGCGCGACGCCTCCTGTGGTGGCAGCCATTTCACACTCAGCTTAAATTCTAGCCGTGTAAATCATGCTTTCGTCTTTGGGTGCAGACACGGGAATAAGCTGCTGATCACAAAAAAACAAAAATAATTGTTTTTAAGAATGAAGTGGGGGGCAAGCATCAGGGGATCTTCCATGGGATTGTTTCACAGCGTATATCGATCCATCGGCTGTTGTTATGGTGCATTTATGGTCTACGTTAGTATTGGAATTTGCCATCTCTGCACCCACACATACCTCAGGGTTAGGGGGGGGGGGGGGGCAGCACTCCAGTAAAAAAGGTGTAGATTAGATTAGCAACACAGTACTAAAGTGACAGAGGAGGATGAAAGTTAAAAAGTTGTTTTTATCAAAGTAAAAAACGGTCACATCTTCAAACCAACAAGTGACCTTGTCACTGGATGAAAAACGTGTTCCCAAAGGTTCTACTCTGGGTCCTCTGCTGTTTACATATTTGAGTATTTTGGTTTACTTTCTTCATCTATTTGTAAACCATTGTTCAAGTTCAACAATCAAGATTTCAAACCCAATTTCTAAACTTGTGCAATGGGTTTCAACTCTTTCCTTCAGGTTGTACTGCGTGGTTTTCCAAAGTAAGGGAATGGATGAACACTTCACGAGGCGCTTGCATTGCCGGCAGGTGTTGGCACACTCACAGTATGTGCGTTGGGTGTTAATTGGCACTTCACATCTGCTGGCTGTAATGATGTAGTTGTGTGGTGTCGTGTTTCTTACAGGCAAAACCTGCCGGGATGATCAAAAGACACGTGAAGCGATTAGGGATGAAACCTTCGCTACACACAAATGATCAGCGCAACGGAGCCCTTCACCTTTGTGGTCTGTGGCTTCTTATATGCCGTGTATTTGTGGGGACCAGTTTGACTTTAAAGCCTTAAGTTTAAAGATCTTTCTGGCATTAGAATAGGGTCTAGGATGAAGGCGAGGGTTAGGGGCGGGCAAATGTACCCTGACATGTGTGCATGTTGTCTATGGTAATTCACAAACATTACTGCACGTCATTACAGCACGTGATGTATATATGGCCTGCTGTGTGTTTGTGTATTGGCCATCTGTTGAGATGTGTAGCATCGGCAATTTTAGCGTTGCGTGTGGTGTACACAAACAAGTATGAAGGATGAACTGCCATGTTGGATATTCAGTAATGCTTGTTCAGGGAATTCAACACAATAGTTTTATTTATTTCTCTCGATTTTCTGGAAAGTGTGATGGCACTGTGCACATCTGGTACTTCATAAGTTTGTTGATGAAGACATTTTCTCAAAAGAAGAGATCCACATTAATGTAAATCAAAGTATTACTGTTATTGATAATATATGGGGATTAATATTAAAATAATAATCTCCATATATGCTGAACTTTATGCTTCCCTGTGGAATTTTCTATTAATGTTTGCCTGTCTAAACCCGACCTGCTGTTTACTGCCTTCAAGACTCTCTGGTCTACAATATAAATTAATTGGAATTAAAGAACTGGGACACTGCCTTTATTTCATTTCATTCAACGAAACTATCCCACCTGCAACAAGTAAGTTGTTTAGATATTTAGGATTTTAAACTGATGGTGACTCGGTAAAGGTCCGGTTGGACTGATGGATATCAGCTACCCTGCATACAGAGCAACAGCACATAGCGTGCAGACGAGGCAGATAAGAACTTAGGTTACGCAAAAGGAAGACGTGAAAAAGCAGCTGTGGACCGGGGAGGAACGCAGACGGCACACTGCGAGCCACACTGGGACTAAAGCACTGCTTGGTTAGTGGGTTCATTTATTACCGCGTGCACCGCCCGGTGGACAAAGCCCGGTGGCTGACCCATGAGTACGCATCTACATGTGAGCCAGGTCGAGGCGGCGAACAGGCCTGTGGCGTGAGTGATAGAACGACAAGCAGGAGACCGGGCCGGTGACTGTTAAAAAGGGGGCGGATGTTTGAGTAAGCTGAAGAGAATCCTGCTTTGAACACCTGACTTGGTGTCTGGTGGGCGATGCAGAGAAAGACCACCCCACCGACCAGCTATAGGCTGACTTGCACAAACATTCACATTGTATTAAGGCTGTGTATTTGTGTTTGGCTTGTATACACGATTGTAGCTGCTGCGGCCCAGTTTTACTCTGTGCAGAAAACTGTGCTTCTCAGATTCTTTATTCTCCTGCCGGCAGTTTTGGCTGCAGAACTGACCGAAAGCATCATGTCTGTGTGTGTATGAAGTGGGCTTTTGAGTGCTTCTCGTCGCTGTCAAAGCGGCAGCCTGTCAGGTAAAAGTACAGTGAGTGCAGCTGTTCGGTTTCATTACTTTCTGTGGGTGAGGCAGCTTTTATGGCCGAGGCCGCTATTAAAATTTGGTCACGGTATTTAACCCAAGTAGGCGTGAGCATTCTATAAGTGCTTATGCTTCCCCCTACTGTAGGAGCCGCAGGGGCACTAAATGCTGTCTCTGAGCGGTCAGCCATACGAAGGAGTAGTCCAACATCATGGCAAACGCACTCATTTGCTTTCTCTCCAGGATGAGATAAGGAGGTCGATATCAAATTCACGTCTGGAATGGCTTTAAAATACAGCCGCTAACACCTCTAAAGCTCACTGATTAACACGCAGTACCTCGCTTCTTTAATCCGCGCATGAACAGAAATGTAAAAATGTTGATTTGATGCTCGAGAACGTGCTGCGGACTGAGCCATTTCTCGTTGAACAGACGATAAAAGCAGCTGAGCGGCTGTATTACACAAGCAAGATACAGCGTGTTATCAGTGTGCAGTGCAGAGATCTTTAAAGGTTTCCATAGAAATAGGAGTATGGAACGGAAATCCCCATTCAAATCAAATGTAGCAGGATGGTCACAGCGGCGGCCATTTTCAGGTGTATCTTAGCCATCTTGGCCGTGGAGGCCCGTCAAGGACGCTGACGGGAGGTTTTTGCAACAGCGAGCGGTAAAGCTACAAACGCTTGCTCGCGGCGCGGGAAAGCACCTCGCTCTCGCCAGATAAGTTAGAACTCCGTTTATCTCATTTCCTGTCACCCGCGTAGCATTAAATCCCACCGTGATTTAACGATTCACAGGAAGTGAGCGGGGCAGCAGGCGGACGGTCAGCAACAGCACAGTCTGACTCCTGGGGAGGCAAAAGTACTGCGCCACTGATGTTTGCCGTCACCGCTGCGGCTGACGACAAACACCATTTTCTTCTGCGCTCGTGAACAGGAACGTTTATAAAGGTGTTTGCACGCGTGTGCTCGCTGCTACGTTACCCTCGATGTGAGCGACTGCATACAGGCTCAGGATGTAACAACTTTGTTATTGTGAAACTCACAAGACACACAGTGATGTGACCGGGATGACGGGGGAGATAGTGGAAACTAGCGATGAGCAAACAGCGGCGTGGGCGTTAAACTAAACCGCCTGACACACAGGTGGATAAGATCTACAGCTAAACTAATTTCCCACAGTCGACTCAATAACGTCGTTGTGACAGTTACGGCCACCACAGGAAATCAATGCGACGGACCGCACTTTGCGTGTGTGAAGGTGTGTGTTTGGTTGTTATATTTGCTATTATTTTCTAAATAAGTCAATAAAGACCCATCAAACCCTGGCTTGGTACAAATGGAGAAGTGTAGCAAAAATATCAAAAACCAAAAGCTCTAAGATCTTCTAACGTTTTTGCTTTAAAGCAGTAGCTTTTTTAAAATTGCATATAGACTAAAGGGGCCATGCAGATATTCAAAGTCTCCGGCAAAGATAAATATCAGCTATATATATATATCTTTGGACTTTTTTTGAGACCAGAAACCGCTTCTTCATCTGCAGAGGAGTTAACTTTGTTTCTTAATCCTTTAATTCTCAAAATGACTGCATATAATGCTGCGTCTCTATCTGCAACCGGAAGTCGAACCCACCACTTTTTTAAGGATTTGAGAGCTCTGTGCAACCACAGGTTATTCCATTAAGATGCTCAACATTTAAACTAAACACATGAGGACAGAAAGCAGGAAGCCTGGTTGGTAAAGCGTATTATGTCGTAAAGCATCAAATTAGAAGAAAAAAAACATGGTGCAGACATAATGACCTTGTCTTTAACAGCATGCGGTCTAAAAGTCAATGGCATAAAGATGCAAATATTTAAATTCCTTGCATTAAAGAGAGGCCATAGAGGCCATAGACAGATGTGTGACCTGCATGTCTGACATCTGTCCAGACAAGGTCACAAAACAGAAATAATAACAGCTCATTTT